ACTGGGTATTGACAAAAAGATTCACTTTATTTTTGAATGAGCTGCATCGTATTAAGCGTTTGAAATGGTAATATTTTCGCGCTTAAAGGAATTTTTTGCTATTACAGAAATTAGTTCGGACACTAGCACACATGTGCACATACAGATCCATAAAAACTGAGTTCATGGCGAAGGAATAGAAAGATAAATAATCGTTGTGGGGAAACTGATAGTTGCAACTTCAGCTTAAATTAGCAAAAAAATAGCGATTTGTGAATACTTTTGTCAATACCCAGTTCAAAGTTTCACGACCGTATACTATAGTATTTCGTCGTATTTGACGTAAACCAGGCCAACCCAGGTCCAACAGACACGGCCACGTACGGCGACATACATCAGCCATATACGACGAAATACGGCGGTTTACGACTGTCGTACACGGCGAATTTTCTGTGATCTGTGTTCCTTGGAATCCCATCGCAAAATGTATTCGTATTCTTATAAGTTTTCCGATATGAACTAGTGTTCTTTATGTGATCAAAATGGTATCAAAGTGTTCTTTTGATCAGCTACCTAGGTCAAAAGAAACGGTTAACGTCTAGTTAACGGCACAAAAAACGGCGTGTTAACGTTCTCCAAACAGCAAAAAACCGGCCAGTAAACAGGCCGTTAACGGTCAGTTGGTGGCCAATCTCTCGGCGGCACCTTACAATTTATTTCCACTTCAGCAAACTACGATTACTATACTTTATATGGAAGTTTGACGGAAGCTGTGGTAAGGTATTTTCATACATGGGAGCCCACGCGTGGAAATTCATGGTATTTATTGCAAACATGAATAGCAAATTCACACTTTTGTTTACAAGCAATATGGTATAACCAGAATGTGCTGAATTTATAATTCTAGATACGTGTGCAATCCTGGCAAACAATTATAATTGTATGTATGTGAGTGGTAAGTGATATTCAAGATGATACAATGCATGGGTGACGTCCTGAAGCTCTGTACACATCTTCTGTAGAAAATGCTGGAAACGAAAAATAATTTTTTCTAAACTAACCGTTAACGACCGGCAACGGTCACGGTGCAGTTACGGCCGGCGTATTTATGGTGTAGTTATGGCCGTTTACTGCCGTATTTGTACCGTATACGGCCGTTTACGATGCAAATACGACCGCAAACGGTGATTTACGGCGGTCGTATAGGACTGTATACGGTCGTTTACGGCAGTCGTAAAATTGGACCTGGGAACGTATTACGTCCACCGCAAACAACGTCGTTTACGTTGAAATACGACAGTCGTAACGGCTGACGTAATACGTTGGCCGGGTTTACGTCAAAATACGACGAAATACTAATTACGTCGTTGTAATTTGACGTATACAGCACGCTCGTAATCATGGACCTAGGTATATGCTTCTCTTTTTTCTTCTCACTCAAGGATTTTTTCTCGTTCTGTGCCAATTGCAACGGTGTCTTAGCGAGAGAGGAGTGAATCATTCTTCTGTCAGTCACAAAGATATTTTGCAAAGCAACGTGCGCGTATGTGCGAGAGAGAGCGTAGCAATGTAACATGTGAGTGAGAAAGAATCTCCGCCTGACTTTTACAGAAAGTGCAACAACAACAGGCCTGAGAGAGATTGATAATTACTAAATAGACCGCCCTTTGACTTTCTGAAATTTCAGTGACTACCCAATACGCGGTTCCTCGCTCATATCATACAAAAGTACTTTCATTAGCTGAAAAAGTGAAAAGTTCAATGTTGTGTTTGGAAAGATTTCATTCTATAACTACTGGGAGAAAGTTTTCAAGGAAGAAAATGACGCAGCTGCTTATAAGAACCCATTCTGGGTCGTAAGCGCAGTTTCGGTCGAATCCAACTATATTATATCTTCGTTTAAAGAGCACACTGTTCCCAGCACTTTGACATAATAATATAAGCCGCATGTCTGCATTTGACAATGGATCTCGATAAGCTTGTCGAATCATGCCCTAAGTTCGACATGGAGTCATCTGTCTTCCTTGAAAAGCTAGTTGTATGACACCAGTTCATGATTTCTCTGACAGCTCTTTAGTTAAAAAAAGTTTCTTGGTATATCTGAATCATTCATTGACTTCAGCCAGAAAAATGCATAAGGTTCCTGTTGTGCCAGGGCTCAGGGAGTTGAGGCTCTATTTTTGATTCTCTTTCGTTCATGAAACAGTTGCATATGGTATTCAAAAAATAGCGCGACTAAATTGCTACAGAACAACACCAATTACCGGATGCTGTCTATAAATAGCATCGTTCAGTGAATGAGAACACTGAAAATTAAGGTCTCTGTTTTGACGAATTGCGTAGGCAAATTCGATCAGGTCGACTAGAAACTTTTTGAGACATAGGTTTGCCACGAGCAATTCAGTGCGATACTCTTCGTAACATTTCATATTCACTTTGATATCGCCGACGATGCTCAAGATACCCTGTCCAAAACTCGAGAGCGTGGCGGTTTGAAAGTTAAGTATGTGTTATTTTTGCGATGGTTTTTAGATTCTTTTCTGTCCGAAATCGTACCTCGTCTAGCGAGGAAAAAAAATCTTTCAAAAAGAAAGAGTCTCGAAAGAATGAAAGCCTGAAAAAATACTATATCGACAAGTGCATTCGGTGAGAATTTCTTTTGAGATTTGTTCTCTTCAAGGTTCTCGGACCTATTCCGAAAAAAAGGGCTCGTACAGCTGCAAAAGAAATCGGATACTTCCATCATTTTTCTTCTTCAAATGTGCATATTTCAGATGTAAGACAATTGCTTCTACTCCCTTCGTGGAACTGTTGACCGATTGATTGATTATAGTCTAGTGGCATCAACTGAGTCCAATTCATGGTACCGGCTGACTGATCGCCACAATGCTCGCCTACCGACAGGAAATTGATGGTTTACGAGCCGTAGCCGTTCTACCGGTGATGTTCTACCATGCTGGCTTCACTCGTTTCGTTGCTGGAGGATACGTTGGTGTTGATATCTTTTTTGTCATCAGTGGTTTTCTCATTACATCTCTCCTCTTGGGCGAAGGAGGAGACAACAAAGAGGTCTCTATTGTCCACTTCTATGAACGCCGATGCCGCCGCATCTTGCCAGCTCTCTTCTTGGTTCTTGTTGCACCTATTCCCTTTGCCTACCATTTGATGTTGCCCGCTCAACTATATGAATTCGGTCAGACTTTCATTTCGATCACGCTCTTCTCGTCGAACATATTCTTTTGGGTGAAAGACGATGGATATTTTTCTTCATTAACCCAATTAAATCCACTCGTTCATACGTGGAGTTTAGCCGTTGAAGAACAATTCTATCTCATCTATCCATTGCTCTTTCGACTTTCGAGGGACCAACAAAGAAAAAAGGGTTTTATAATAACGTTAGCTTTTCTTGCTTTCGTCAGTTTTTTTCTTGCTCAATGGGGCGATAATTTAAAATTGATCCCGCAGGCGGACAGTTTCTACTGGTTTGCTCAACATTCTTGGGCGACATTCTATTTGCCCGTTGGACGTGTTTGGGAATTATTGTTGGGTGCCTTGGCTGCCTTCTATCTGGAGGACGAGGGAGGAATAGGAGGAAAACCGAAACACAATCAATTGGCTGCTCTTCTCGGACTCATTCTCATTCTTTGTTCGATTGTTCTGTTTGATGATCGACGCATACCTCCATTTCCCAATATTTACACACTTGTACCGACTTGCGGAGCAACATTGATTCTTCTGTATGGAGATACAGACACGTTGGTCGGACGATTACTTTCCGTTCGTCCATTAAAGGGCATCGGACTCATTTCATACAGTACTTACCTTTGGCATCAACCATTCCTGGCGTTCGCTCGGCTAAAATCGGACCACAACACATTGAATAATGTTTTCTTTTTGTTCGTCTTATTACCGGGAATATTCGTTCTCGCCACGCTCAGTTATTACTTTATCGAAACACCATTTCGAAGCAAAAGCCGATTTTCACGCAAACAAATATTCAGTTCTGCTCTCCTGACTGATTTACTCATAGTGGCTATTGCCTATTTTCTTCTCCAAACCGCAAATTATCGATCTAACATCAGCAGTAGCAAAGATAGCTATCTGTTTGAACTGACGGGCCATGATCAGTATGTGCCACAAAGATTTGATGCATTGATGAAAAATACGACTACTTTCGATCAAACATCCCACAATAAAACAAGGATTGCTCTTATTGGCGACAGTTATGCAAAAGATCTTTTTAATGCAATAATTGAAAGCAAACAACTGTTAAACTATCAAATACGAGTTCATTTTATTCAGCAACGTTGTCAGATCTATTTGGGACCAGAAGATCTACAAAAATGGATCCCAGCTAAAGCTATACAATTTTGTAAAGCAAATAAAGAATATCATATTAAATATGCCTTGCCATTGATTCGTCAAGCCAATATAATTTTTCTCGCTGGTCGATGGCGACAATGGAGTGCTCTACGATTATCGTCGACAATAAAAGCGCTCAATCTAACACGAGATCAACAAGTATTCGTTATTGGTGCTAAACATTTTGGTAAAGTCAATCCGAGGTTGTATGTTGACAAAACAAATGAATATCGAATAAAACAACGTCAATTTCCACCGACTGATGAATTAATAATAAATGAAATTCTAGAAAAAACGATCGATAAATCGATGTTCGTCAACGTGCAAAAGATGCTGTGCACTGGTCCTAACAATACATGTCCACTATTTACTCCCGAAGGAAAATTGATTACATACGACGGTTATCATTTAACAAAATATGGTGCTGGTTACTTAGGCAAGATTCTTTTTAGCAATTCACCATTGAATCGATTGTTGTAGTTATCCCTTAGAATATGTTCAAAGCGGAAATGGTGCGTTACGTTGTTGGGATCCTTGGACCGATTATTCTAATAAAATTATAGTATGGTCTGGCAGACAAGCGTGGTGCTCAAAATCCTGGATACTTTGCTGAATTACTATCTCTAAAATTATCAAGAATATGTCAACGAATTTTCTGTTTCTGATACCAATTTTCTAGAATTCTTTTCGACATTTTTCTATGTTTTACTTGAATCTCAGTATACTGATCACAGAACGTTCAGTTGAAATAAATTTTTCCTTGTGGGGAAATTGATATTCAAATCTTATCTAAAATAATATGTTTCATCTCCAATACATTCTGGCTTATTTAACCGTTTACAGTGGACAGATATTTCTAATAGAACACCTTCTCCTATACTGAACGATTTTGCTGTACTTTTAAAACTTGTTCATTTTCGTGTTATATAGATGTTAAAATAAAGAATGTAATAATGGTTTAATATAATCAGAGACTAATCCCAACGTCAACAAGTTCGAGAAGCCCAAGCCAAAATACTCTACGGAGAGAATCTAGCTCCATCGACTACATAACCGGGCGGTTATTCACTTGATGGATCTAGGTAAAAGTACCTTTTTACCTAATTAGCTAGCTCCAATCTAGTAGTGAATCGAGCACTAGGTTAGCGGAATCGAGTAGGAGCGGGAGGTTGACAACTAGGTTAACCGCCAAATTAACCGAAGCTAGCTCCGAAGACAAAATATATTTAATAAGAGGGTGGTTAGCAAGTAGGTTAACCGGAAGGTTAGAGCGCCCGGTTTCCGGAGAGTTGTGTCTCGAACATAAAATGTGGCAAATTTAATTTTCTAAATTTTATGTGTTGGAACCAGATTGTAATAAATCGTTCTTCATAGTGAAAAACAGTAAATACCGTTTTTCGTCGTGAAGCACGAGTTTTACAAAGCTGCGTCCGGCCGATAAAATTTAGGAAATTTAATTTTCTACATTTTGTCTCTAGTTTCAAGTTTGAAAAACTTTCCCTTCGTCATGAAAAATTACAGATGGTTTATATTATTTTTCACGATGAAGGAAGTTCAAAGTTGAACTAGACACAAAAATGTAACAAATTTAATTTTCTAAATTTTATTTAATTTTTCTATTAATAGAAAATTTTAGTTTTGTTTTTAAACTTTAACTCTCATCTCTCCATTCCAATAGCACTGAAATCGGGTTACCCCATTGCATCTGTGTCCAAAGGTATCGAGACAATGAGCATCAGATAACTTGTCCAAGACTATCACGCGACTGCCGTTGCCGGGATTCGGACTCCGTATGTTTAAAATACGTTGTCTGCCCACTAGCCGACTGAGTCACGCGGCTCAGTCTTTTAGTTAAATAAATATAATTAAGGAAAAAATATATATTTTTCTTATGCTGTTCTTAAAAACGTCAGTATACTGATGAGACCACTAAAAACCCTTTTAGTTTTCTAATATACGTCCTTTTTTTGCTACGTCCTTTTATGCTATTTCGGTTTTCTCTCTCCTCAAATGGAATTAGTCTTCAATGTGTTATATATAGAAACGTTGCTGAGGAAACGCACTTTTGAGTGGCATATAATACGTGAGATTATCTATAAAGTAAAACGGCAAAACATTGTAAATACGATTTCCACTAGACTTCGAGTCGGGAAAATATTCAAGTGGTAAAATTTCCGTGAAATAAATAAATGTGCAGTAAATTAATTCTATGTTCAGTAATTTAATTTAATTTTAAGTAAATTATTGAAATGTAT